ATGTTGATGTAGAAGAGACATGAAGAAGAGGGGACACATGTTGATGTAGAAGAGACATGAAGAAGAGGGGACACATGTTGATGTAGAAGAGACATGGAGAAGAGGGGACACATGTTGATGTAGAAGAGACAGGAAGAAGAGGGGACACATGTTGATGTAGAAGAGACATGAAGAAGAGGGGACACATGTTGATGTAGAAGAGACATGAAGAAGAGGGGACACATGTTGATGTAGAAGAGACATGAAGAAGAGGGGACACATGTTGATGCAGAAGAGACATGAAGAAGAGGGGACACATGTTGATGTAGAAGAGACATGAAGAAGAGGGGACACATGTTGATGTAGAAGAGACATGAAGAAGAGGGGACACATGTTGATGTAGAAGAGACATGAAGAAGAGGGGACACACGTTTGTTCCAGATGTCTGGAGCATAATAACTGAACTTCTCCATGTTTAGTTCTGACTCTGAAAGCAGACCAGAAGACCTGAGAGATCTGGATGGTTCAGAATTCACTAGGAGGTCAGGGGGCTACAGACTGTTTATCTCTTAGCACCCAATTCCTAATATTTAGAATAATCATTGAAGGTCAAATGAATCAACATTTTTATCTTAATTGGTTTCAAATTCGAGAAACATTGAATAAACACAGACACTCAAATGTGACTGTTATTTTGTATATTGTTTGTTGTGCTTGTATTTAGGTCTTAATGTGTGCATATATATAAATGGGTTTGTTGATTGTGTATATAGATATATATTTGTATACATATCTTTATATATATTTGTATTTTTGTATTCGGGATTGTCGGAAACGGTATTTCGATCTTTCTGTCTGTACACACAAACTGAAAGATTGAAAATAAAGTTGGCTTTGATGTCCATTGAGCATAAAAACCTTTCATGTGCTATTTATCGTAGAAATGTACCTTCAAGGAGTCATTCAGTTCTTTGTACACTTGCTCTTGCCTTGGGTCGAACTGACATATTTAGCAGGAGATCAGAAATGTATTTTGGGTCTAAACCATTTCTTTTAAGGGGATGTTTTTGCTGCTGTCTGCTCAGCACCTGATCCTGACCCCACCTCAATCTTCCACTCAGACAGACTAATGGGGGACTGGTTGCACCATTTATATTCCTCGCCCCCCCCCACTGGCACCCTACCTCAGCTGTCTCCTTTTCTACCCCCTGGAGGAGCTTGGTGTGTGTGTGTGTGTGTGCGTGCGTGCGTGCGTGCGTGCGTGTGTGTGTGCGTGTGTGTGTGTGTGTGTGTGTGTGTGTGTGTGTGTGTGTGTGTGTGTGTGTGTGTGTGCGTTTGCGTGTGCGTCCCTTTCTTATGAGTTTTGGGTGAGGTCTTGGTTTAGGGTAAAAACTTTACTTGGAGAACTCTAACTGACATTTTAATTACATCAAATTACTTTTTATAATCATTAATATATTGTACTCGTAGCTCATGAATCCTTAATTTATTTGACTGGATGTTTCTTTGCATGTAGAGTTTGCATCAGTGTCTAAATTTTGGCACAGAAAAACTATGGGATGCACATAAATACAATTTTGAATTTTCTTATCGTATGAATAATTCTTAATTTGACCAAGCAATACCGTTTAACAGTATTTATTTAAACTATTTAACTATTTAAGTTACTGCACTGTTCAACAATATTGCTTCCGCTTAAATGAGATGTAGCACCATAAAGGGAGTATTTAAGTATTTATTTCAACAAGGCCAAACCAATTACATTAATCTCAGAAAAGAGAAAATATGTTTTATGCCAGATTTGAGCTAATAGCTAATTTCCATCTGCAGTCCTGAGGCAGGTAACAATTAATTAACACTTAAACATTGCATAATCTCCATCACACAAACAATTATAAAGCAATTATAAAGCAAGTGGATGATGGCATGAAATCTATGAAAAGCCACATATTATTATGTCAGATAGCTTTAAATTGGCAGCTACCCAGAAAATCATTTTTGTTTCTGCTGAGTACTTACAAATATAATAAATAAATACTGTAATTTGCCTCTGCTTTTAAAACCATATCTTGTAGTTTTAATTACTAAACTTTTGAGTGCAAGTGCAAGTGAGGAACTTGACGATCATCCTTTGTCTGTAGCTTGGGCCCAATGCAACAAAATGTACTAGCCAAAATGTCAACTTTTCACACAGCATATAAACTAATCTACCAGCCAAATTACTATGAGCTCTGTTCAGCATATTCATACTCTCAAAGTGATTTCAATGAGCTGTAAAAAAGTTTGCCAACTATTGGCATTTAAATGCAATATAAGTGGAATAAAAAGAGAGATCAGTGTTGGTGTGAGCAGGTGCAATGTAACTAAGTACATTTACTAAAGTATTGTATTCAAGTACTTTATTTTACAACATACTTCCACTCTACTAAATTTTAGAGGAATTTGACATCTTTTTTTACTCCATTACATTCATCTAACACCTAAAGTTAATACAGACCTTGTACATATAAAACACATGATATGCTGATGATAGGATTCAGTACCGTATAATGAGTTACTATATTTTACAAATTACAATGTTAAAATATTCTTTAAAGGTCACCTATAATGCTATTTTTAGGCAATAGCATAGGTCTCAGATATATAAAAAAATATTGTAATATGTTACAAAAGTGCTGATTCTGGGTATTAAGCTTAAGTAAGAGGGGGCGGAGCTTATGGCGGCTCATGGGGGACCTGGCAGATACTGTCTAAAATGCTGCGGTGAGGATTATTAGATCAAGGATTATTTCTGAAACAGTATGGAGCTCAAAGGCTTTCTCTCTTGCCGGTTGTACCACAAGGTGAGTTCCTTTTTATTTCCTGCTTCTTCACACACATGCAGGGGCGAATCTAGACAAATATTCATGGGGTGGCAAGAGGGTGGCAGGAGATTTTGAGGGGTGGCATCCCCTGGCAGAAGTCTATGCTGATTTAATCGCAGTCATATCAAACAATGTTAACTTGGAAAGCCACAATATTAATAGTTTAACTCAATAACATTAGGTGACATTATTTTGGCACATCAGTAAAGCGGAATGTGGCAGACTTAATTTAATGAATTTTAACTGAACAATAACTGAATGAGTTCGTCTCAATCTTAGACCAGCAGGGGTACCAAATCTATGCAGACAGCTGCAATAAGTAGATTAATTAACTGTCTCATC